CGGGAGACCCTCCTGGGGAGCTGGGCTGCGGCCTCCAAGCGCCTCGGCCATATTGAATAGCCACGGCTGAGCCTTCTTTGTCTGCGAAGTTCTCCCCCAAGTTCCAGGCACGTCCCTGGAACAGGAAGAGCCACCGGGCAGCCCCTGTATCGCAGCTGCAGCCGGGACACCCGTTTGCAGCTTGCGGTGGGCTTGGAGCCTCAGGACTGACCTCATCCCGGCTCACGTAAGCATCCTGGAAATTGATTCCCACCAGTCCTTGAGGGGAGCGGGACTTGATCAAGACCAGACTCGTTGCAGGCGGAGAAATTGGGAGGTGAGACTCTCCCGGCGGCGCCACCGAGACCCCACCCTCACCCCCAAGACTCGGGGCTACGAGTAGATTGGGCTCATTGCCCCCACCCCAGATTTCACCCTGGAGATTTTAAAGACCCTCGAGAAAAGCCATGTGGGGGGCTGGTTCCCCTGGGGCTTCCTCCCATCCCCCGACTGCCTGATCCTCTGGAGCGTCCCCGACGTCTGCAAAGATGTGGATTTGGACGTCCTCGTGGAAGCCTTGAAGCCTGTGGGGACCTTTAAGAAGATCGGCAAGGTGTTTCGCCGGGAGGAGGACTCCACAGTGGGGATGCTGCAGATCGGGGAGGACGTGGACTATTTGCTCATCCCCCGCGAAGTCAGGCTGGCGGGAGGCATCTGGAGGGTCATCTCCAAGCCCGCCACCAAGGAGGCGGAATTTCGGGAGCGGCTGATCCAGTTTCTGGAGGAAGAAGGCCGCACCCTGGAGGATGTGGCCCGCATCATTGAGAAGAGCACTCCGCATCCACCCCAACCCCCCAAAAAACCCAAGGGGCCCCGGATGAGGAGAGTCCAGCAGATGGTGACCCCACCTCCCCGGCTGGTCGTGGGCACTTATGACAGCAGCAACGCCAGTGACAGCGAGTTCAGCGACTTCGAGACCTCCAGAGACAAGGGTGACAAGGGCCACAGAGGCACGGGGCGTGGCAGGAAGGTGCGCAAAATGCCTGTCAGTTACCTGGGCAGCAAATTCCTTGGGAGCGACCTGGAGAGCGAGGATGATGAGGAACTGGTGGAGGCCTTCCTCCGGCGAGGGGAGAAGAAGCCCAGCGTGCCGCCAGCCCGCCGCCGGGTGAACCTGCCAGTGCCCATGTTTGAGGACAACCCGGTGCCCCAGCTGTCCAAAGCGGACAGGTGGCGGGAGTATGTCACCCAGGTGTCCTGGGGGAAGCTGAAGCGGAGGGTGAAGGGCTGGGCACCGAGGTCCAGCCCAGGGGTGGGCGAAGCCTGGCAGGCCTCTACCAGGTTGGAGAGGGATGGCGCATCAGTGCCACTCAGTGCCAGCCTGGGGGATAATGTGGGAAATGCAGGAGACGGGCAGGTGCCTGAGAGCCCCCCAAGACGGTGGAGGCCTAAGATCAACTGGGCCTCATTCTGGCGTCGCAGGAGAGAGGAAGCAGCAGCCAGGGCTCAGGGGGCAGAGGCTGTAGGTGAGCAGAGAGTGGAGGCCGTAGATAATCAGAGGATGGAGGCTGTAGATGATCAAAGAGCAGGGGCCATAGCTGTCCAGAGGGCAGAGGCTGTGGGTAACCAGAGGGCAGAGGCCATGGCTGTCCAGAGGGCAGAGGCTGTGGGTAATCAGAGGGCAGAGGCCATGGCTGTCCAGGGGGCAGAGGCTCTGGGTAATCAGAGGGCAGAAGCCCCAGCTGTCCAGAGGGTAGAGGATGCAGATAATCAGAGGGCAGAGGCACCAGATGTCCAGGGAGCAGAGGCTGTATCTGACCAGAGGGCCCTAGGGGTCAGCCCAGTATCTAGGACCCGGAAACAGGTCAAGACAGTGAGGTTCCAGACCCCTGGACGCTTTTCATGGTTTCGAAAGCGCCGGAGAACCTTCTGGTACACTCCCCGGTTGCCCACCCTGCCCAAGAGAGTCCCCAGGGCAGGTGGGGCTAGGAGCCTCAGGGTCCTGAGGGCTGAGGCCAGAGCAGAGGCAGAGCACGGAGAGCAGGAAAACCAGCTGTGAGGAGAGGGCAGGGGGGCCACGGAGGACCTCGCCACCTGCCACAGTATGGGCCGCTCAGGGTGTGTCCCTAACTCCGACACTTGGACAGAGGTGCTATCTCCATACTTGAAAATGGAGGTACAGCAAGGGCTTGGCAGTGCCCCGCACATCTCCTTCTAACACCCCTCTTTGTTTTCTTGTTAAAATTGTGTCTCTCATGCATTGATTTAATTTTGTTTTCTCGTGGCTTGTGGGATCTTAATTCCTGGACTAGGGATTGAACCTGGGCCCGGCAGTGAACGTGCCAAATCCTAACCACTGGACCACCAGGGAATTCCCCATGCATTGATTTTTTAAAATATAGACTCTTCATAGTAACCCAAGGAATGTAAATAAAGAAACCCATACAACGGGTTCGCACCACCCATGATTTTAACTTCTTCATATGCAATTCTAGGTGCTCAGCTTGAAAAAGGGAGAGAGGTGAGGGAGAAATTCCTTCCTCTTCCCCTTTTTCTTCGCCCTTTCGCCTGCACACTTAAACTCACTGCCTCCTGGAACTTAAAAAGAGGGCGCAGGTCAACATGCAAATAAAAGTGTTTACAAACTTATTTCTTGGCTGTGGACTTGGCAACTGAAGAATGCTCCAGGGTGATTTTGTCATACCCTTGTGTCCCCTCCCCTCCCCCCCCCATGATGGCGACTTGTGTTTAAGTCACTTTGCTTGCCATCCCCACATTCCTGGGTTCTGCAGGCTTGGTGGGTACAGGGCCCGCAGTTTACATGCTTCGTCACATCTTGGCTACCAAGTACAGAATCATCATCTGGGAAACGTGGCCAAAACGCGGGTTCTGGAGCCCTTTGTGCCAGAGCTGTGAATTGCTGGTGCAGGCTGTGTGGCCCAGGAATCCGTTTTGATCAAGCCCCACAAACATCTCCTGGGGCAGCTTGGCTCCTGGACACATTGAAAAAGCTTCATTGCAACAGGAACAGGGCAAAAGGTACGTTGTGGTGTGATAGTGAGCAGTATGCTGTGACTGGCCCTTACAATCGGGAGACATCAGGTTGCTACATGCTGTGGGAGCTGGGGGACATTTCTCTGTGTTGTTTTGTGTCCCCTCACCCAACCTCACTGGGGGAAAAACAAAGCAAATGACCCTGGCCCAACCTCGGTACAGGCAGGAGAAAAGGGAATTCTTGGAGGGAGGTCTGAAGGTCACCTGGGTCCTCCTGAGGCTGCAGTCCTGGCCTGAGCTTCTGAGACCTGACTCAGTAGGGCTGTAGGGCTGGTGGGGGTAGCGGGTGGGGGGGGGGGGCAAGAATATGCATTCTTAAGAAGTTCCCAGGAGACGTGGATGCAGCTGGTTTCAGGACCTTATTTTGAGAACTGCGGCAGCCTGGCCGAAAGTTCAAAAAACAGGCGGAGCTTTGAAGTTTCAAGGCAGTGGACCAGTGCCCGCGCACCTTTAGTGCTCAAGAAGGGCCGTCATCCCCTTGATTTTAACCATCTGTCCCGGAGCGCTTCCTGGTTGGGACAGTGGGCGCACCCTGCGAGCCACCACGGCGCGATTTTAACCATCGGTCTTGGAGCGCCACCTGGTGGATAAACGGGCCACGGCAACTCGCCTGAGTTGACGCTACCTCCTCAGGCCTAGTTGTAGCGGGGCGGAGCGTCCTGTCTTGGGGCGGGGCCTGCAATAAGGAAGGCGGGGCCTCGTGGGCAACAGGCTTTGAGGAACCGAATAGAGGGAAAGGCTTGTTGTTTTCTGTTTCTGGAGCCCTGGCTTCTCCCTCCAGGCCGTTCGAGGACCAGGTCACATCCCCGGGAGTCTCAGGGGGCCCCTGTCTCCGTTTGAGCAGACCGAGGGGTGGGACAGCTTACTCCTAGAGGTCCCAGGAAGGGGAGGGGGGCACGCTCCCGGCCTGTCTGCTCTCCCCGACCCCAGGGACCTCTGCACACTCACAGTCTAAACTCCAGTAACGTGGAATCCAAGTAGACAGCCACCCCCGTGAAGGCAGGTGGCCTGTTTTGGAGACACGGTCTCTCCTACGCTTAGCAGGGAATCCTGGCACCTGAGCGGTCAAGGGTTACACACGAATAAACCCCAATCACCACAGCCCTGGCTCGGGGCTTTTGCTCGGGCTGTTCCTGCCTCCTGAGAGCGCTTCCCTCGGGTATCTGCCGGCCATACCCCTCCCCTCCAGCGCTGAGGGGAGTCAGCCCACGGGAGGTGGGGTGGGGGACAGCTGGCGGGACGTGCAGGGGGAGCCACAGGCCCGTGAAGGAGCACCGCCTGGTACTGCAGAGAAAATCCAACACTCTGTATGTGAATTGCCCCAAACTGAAAATGTTGCAAATAATTCCCACTCTTTGAAAACACCGTGCAGGTTGAGTGACAGATTCGGTGTCTGGGCACCAGCAGGTGGCTTTGGCCTTGAGGAGCTGGTGCATTTGTACCAGCTACACTTCAGATGGGCAGGGCAGGTGTGGGTCTCTCTCTCTCTCTTCCTTCCCCTCCTTCCTTGGTCCTGGTCGCCAGAGCCCCGCCCCTCCCTTTCCCTCCCCAACCTCTTTTCCCCTCCCCCAGGAGCAACCCCTCTGCCTCTCAGGCTTCTCTTCCTGGAATCATCTCCTCCCCCAGCAGGGAGGTTCAGCCTTCCTGACTGAAGGCTCAGCTACATCCTGACACCCCCGCGCGGCTGGGTGGCCGAGCCTCCATCACAGAGCCCGGCCCCCATCAGATTGGGGTGGAGGACAGGGGCGCAGAGACGCTGGCCAGAAGCATGAGTCTGGAAGGGATCGGGGCTCTACGAACAGCCAGAAAGAACTCACTGGCACTGCTGGCCTCCCCCAGTGCCCGGTGTCCACGGACACGCTCACCCCTGCGCTAACGCGGAAGACCCAAAGACAATCCCGCTGGGGGGACCCTGAGACCCCGTCCCATCACCTAGGGCTGCTGCCTCCGCGGGCGCCCGTTACACTCTTCCTTTTTCCCTTGGGCTCGCTCGCGCCACCTGCAACGGAGGGACTGAAAGGACAGGGGAGTGAGCGGTGGGCGGGCGCGCACTTTAGAGCTCAGTGCCCACGGTTCAGCGGTTGCCGCCTCCGCGGCGGGGAGGGCCGAGGGGCGGAGCTGGGGTCCCACCGGCAGCTGCACCCTTGCCGTGGCCTTAGCCGCACTTGGGGGGCAGCCTCTTGCCCCGACCAGCCTTCTTCCCACGCGTGGACTTGGAGCCGGCGGGCGGCCGAGCCCTGGGCTGGCCGCCCTTGGCCTGCGCCCCAGCGCCCGCGCGCCCCTTCCTGCTATTGCTTCCTGCCGCCTCGTCCTGGGCTTCCGTCTCGGGAGGGATGCCCAGCCCGCCGGGGCCGCCGCCTCCCCTTCGGATTTTGCGGGTCCCCGACGGGGCGGGAGTCGCTGCCCAAGCCCGCCCGACCCAGGGCCCTAAAGGCCGGGCGGGCCCGCTTGGCCCCGGGCTTCCTGGACGCGCGGTCCTCGGGCTCAGACTCCTCGCTCTCCACGTGCTCCGACTTCCTGTTCCCGCGGGCCGCCCGCAGCGCCAAGACCTCCCCCAGGTTGCCTTTGGCGCATCTGAACCTCCCACTCTGCCAGGCCTTTTCCTTTTCTTCCTATCACCTCAGCCATGTCCTGGGCATCCAGGAGCACCGCTAGCTCCAGGAGGCCCCCCTCATCTTCCTCGTCCTCGCCCCAGCCCCTAAGCGGGCCACCGGGAGCCTTCTTCCCTTTGCAGGTGGTCCGAGGCTCAGCCACGGTGGAGATGCATCCCAGCAAGTGAGCGCCGTCTTCGGCCTTCCTCAGGACCACGGCGTCCACCTGGCGGCCTGCCTCCTCCACCTTCACTCGGGTTCCTCGGGAAGTGTCCTTGGCCATGACGGACAAGACCTCGGGCAGCTCAGCTTTCTTGTCGCTCCAGCCCAGAAACTCGATCACAGAAGCAATTTTCAAACATCTCGTCGCAGGCGGAGTGGCCCGCGGGGTCTGTACAAGGCACAATGGCCACAAACTCGGGAATGTCCACCCCCCTCTTTCTTGATCCCCGTTTTCCTGAGACTCGCTTTGGGAGGCGTCGCTGCCCATGGTCTCCTCGTCCGACGTGTCTCCCACTGCGAGTAAGTAGGGCCACTAAGTCTGGAATTTCGCTCCGGTCTTCTTTGATGTTCAGGCTGATCGACTCAGCCCCAGGGGGATCGTTCTCCATCTTCCTCTTCTTGGCTTTGTCCGTCACCGTTGCCAGGGCCAAGAACTCGCCGGGACCGTTCCATCATCTCCTTCCTTCTGGAGGGCCCACTTCCTAACAGGCTCCTTCGCGGCGGGCTGGAGGGTGGCGTACAGCGCGCTCTGTTCGCCATCCCCGCTCAAGTCCTCCTTGCCCATCTCCTCGATCGTGATACCCAGGCTCTAGTCGGGAGAGTCTTGGGACTCCCGCTCCCCGACGTGGATGGCCGCGCTCCACGACGCTCTTCTGGCCCACCTGCTGCCTCTGGTTCTGTTTCTGTGACCCCGACGGCCCCTCCTAGCATCTTTGGCTGCACCAGGAGGGGGGACAGCCTCCCTGACCCCTGGCTCCGACCCCAGAGCCAGGGTCTCCGAAGCGGGAGGGGTGGGCGTGTCCCCGGGGGCCCTGGCCACTGTGGCCTGTGGAGGCCTTTTATCCAACAGCAAGCGTTTCACCTGCCTCAGGACTCTCGTGCCCTCCGCGCTGTCCTTGCACAGAACCCTCCAGTCGCCGTCCTTGCCCGGGATCTCCTCGGGGATGGCACCATGATTAATGCCCTTCACAAACTCCATCAGGGAGGCCTTGGCCTTCTCGTCCCTCACGGCCCGCGTGTTCCGCAGCCTGAACTTGCCCAGGGGCAGCAAGGCCGGCTTCAGGACGGCTTCGATGGCTGTCTGCTCCAGGTCCTCCGGGATGCCGGTGACCAGCAAGGCCCTGTGCACGTCCACGGCCAGCCCCCTGCACCAGTCCCCCAAAAGGCTCATGGCCACGGTGCCGCCGCTGGCGCTGACAGCGGAGCAGGAGGGAGCCCAAGGCGGACGTGGGCTGCGGTCCCCTGTGCAAATGCCACTCTGGAACAGCGCCACAGGGCTTGGAGCTCAGGTTCAGGTGAATGTGGCAAGGCTCGGGCTCCAACTGCCCCTGGGCGGCTGACGCAGCGTCCTTTCCCGAGGTCCCTGCCCACAGGGGTCCTAGCATCCACAGGAAGCTTACGAGTCAAACCCAGGGGTGCCACCGGCCCGGCCCCTCCGCCCTTTGTTCCTGACAGAGGCTGAGTGACACCGCGGCGCCCGGGACAGGTGCTGGGGAGGGCGACGCCGTGCGCCCCCGGAGCGGCGCGGGGAGGGGCGCCACGCTCGCCTGCCTGTGGTCGGGCCTGGCCTTGCACCCTCTGCTCAATCTCAGCAGTTCCGGGCGACGGGTCTGCTCCGCCCTGCGCCTGCGCACACAGGCTAGCCCCGCCTCCCAGCTGCACCCCATCTCCATGGCAATACTGCGGGCTGGAGCAGGGGTCGGAGTTGGTGGGGTCTGAGGAGCCGGCTCTGGACGAGCCTGAGGAACGGAAGACTCAAGGGGTGGGATCACCATTAGTGATGAGCCCCAAAAGGCCATATTCACAGGGGCTGAAACAGCAGTCAGGGGGACCCGAGCTCCTTCAGGGGATAGAGGCCTCTTTTCGGTAGAGGACCGGCTTCCTGCAGGGTTGCAATTCCCCTCCACAGTGTAGGTGGAGTTCAGGATAGAGAGACGTAAATCAAGGGCTATGGGGGAAAAAAAGTGGTGGGGGGAATTCCCTGGCGGTCCAGTGGTTAGGACTTCGTGCTTCCACAGCAGAGGTCACAGGTTCGATCCCTGGTCCGGGAAATAAGATCCCACTAAGCGGCGCAGCGCGGACAAAGAAAAAACAACAAAAAAGCCTATGGCCTCCCACGGTGGAACCAGGACTCACTCAGAGTTTTCGGGCCTCACTCAGTGGGGACGGGCTTCAATAAGGGTACACAGGCCTCAGCTGTGAGGTGCGGGCATCATTTGGGGTCCACAGCTCTCACTGATGGGGTACGGGCCTCGTTCAATGAGGCCTCGCTCTTGCAGATGTTTCTGTAGCCATAACGATGCACGTGCAATTCACCGTGTGTTTTTGTACACAGTTTCTGTACGTGTATGATCCTCAGTGAGATCAGACGTGAATTCTGCAAGAAGGCATTTCCGCTGACTGGGTCCACAGGCTGGGACAGGTGAATATCATAGCTACTCTAAATACACATCTGCATCACCATCCTTTATAAACCTCCCCCACCCGCAACTCTATGTAAATCAGGCACTGTGGTCCAGCTATTGAGTTTCTACTGCTGCTCGCTGCCCTCGCAGTGACTCTGGGAAGATCCCTGGGCTTCTCTACGCCTCTGTGAAATGGCGATAACCACTAACCCTACCTCATAGGATCCTTAGGGGGATTAAAGGTGATGATCCATGAAAGCCCTTGGAACAGAGGTTGGCCCAGAGTTGGTGCTCCATGAAAGATACCTATGGGACCTCTTTCTTGAGAACGTATGATACAATCATTTAACATAAATATATTAATTAACTTAATTGTTAAATAAATAAGTATATAAATAAAGAAGAAACCCAAACACTTCCTCTTTTTTTTTTTTAACGTAGGAAGAGTTTATTGCAAGGTTACCATGGAAACTGGGCCTAGGGCAAACCAAACAGCTTTCTCACTCTCCTACCCACGCCCTTGCAGCTCTTATTTTCCCTGCTTTTCTCTTTTCCTTTCGCCCTCCTGGTCCCCAAATGGATGTTATCCTTCTCTCTAGAGCAGCGTTGTCCGACAGAAATATAATGTGAGCCCCCAAGGCAAGCCACATGCAAAATGTTAAGTTTGCTAACGTCCACCTTTAATAAATACAAAACAGGTGAGGGCTTCCCTGGTGGCACAGTGGTTGAGAGGCCGCCTGCCGATGCAGGGGACACGGGTTCGTGCCCCGGTCCGGGAGGATTCCACTATGCCGCGGAGCGGCTGGGCCCGTGAGCCATGGCAGCTGAGCCTGCGCGTCCGGAGCCTGTGCTCCACAACGGGAGTGGTCACAACAGTAAGAGGCCCACGTACCGCTAAATAAATAAATAAATAAATAAAATTAAAAACAGGTGAAATGAATTTTAAGAATAGATTTCATTTTTTATATAAATTTGTTTATTTATTTTTGGCTGTGTTGGGTCTTCGTTGCTGTGTGCGGGCTTTCTCTAGTTGCGGCGCCACAGACTCAGTTGCTCTGCGGTATGTGGGATCTTCCTGGACCAGGGTTCGAACATGTGTCCACTGCATTGGCAGGCAGATTCTTAACCACTGCGCCACCAGGGAAGTCCTGGCTACAAGTTCTTTGACCACCATCTGGAAGCGGCATCCACATACCCTTTTCTTGAATCTGAATCTAGACATGCTGTGACTGCCTCGACAAGTATGGCAGAAGTGATGCTACGTGTCTCCCAAGGCCAGTTATAAAAGCCTTTTGCCCACTTCTCTTGGAATACTTGCTCTCAAGACCCCCCTCCCAGGACATTCCTGCTTGAAATTTAACCTCCATGCTGTGAGGAAGCCCAACTCACACGGAGAGACCAATGGAGGTGCTCAAGTCAACATCTCCAGCTAAGCCCAGTTTTCAAGTCATCCCAGACCAGGCACCAGACATGATGAGGAAGCTTCCAAATGATTCCAGACCTTAGCCATTGGAGTCACCCCAGACCTTAGCCATTGGAGTCACCCCAGCTAAGGCACCAGACGTTGTGGAACTGAAAAAAAGCCATTCCCCATTATTCCCTTTCATTGTGCTGACCTACAGACTCCATGAACACAATAAAACATTTTTGTTTTATGCCAGTGAGTTTAGGGTGGTTTGTTATGCAGCAAAAATAACCAGCACACACCCATCCCATCCTCACTGCTTTGGACAGGTAACTAACCTCTCCGTGCCTCCATTTACGTCCCTGAAAATGGGGATCACGTTCTCTTAGCGTCGTCAGGAAGATAGGAGAGGTTGTGGCGTGCTCGTGCCCAGCGAACCCCTGTAGCACTCAGCAAGTCCTACTGAGGTTATGAATCAGTGGCCGGTCACTTCCAGATCACCCACAGCTGACCATGACCGCAATGGGGGCAGCTTGCGTAGAGACCACTGCGAGCCCCAAGACCGTGTACCGTCCCCATCCCGGTGCCTCGGGCCCCTAATGATCTGCCCCAGCTCACCCTGGCCTCTCCCCGTCCCTCGCTCCTCCACACCCAGTTTTCCCCTCCCCCCAGAGTTTGCGGAGACGGCAAGGAAGGGGTCCGCTCACAGACCCTGGAGTCACACGGACGTGACTTGAGTCAAGCCAGATCGCCTGGGTTCAGATTCCAGCTCTGTGTGACTCTGACAAGTCATCTGCCTTCTCTGAATCTGTAAAATGTGCACAGTAAGAGCACCTAAACTTGCGTTGAAATCATCAGAGCGCATGTATTAAGAGATATATAAATAACAGCTATTGTTGTTCTTGCTGTTAGTGTTGAACCCCAGCACCCCACTTCAGAGCTGAATCAACTTAAGCAAATTATTTCGCCCGCGCCCTTGAACGCTGGGGAAGCGCCTTCGCAGGTGCGTCTTTAAGTAGCGGCCCTGGAGCGCCGCCTGGTGGTCAATACTGGCGCCGCAGAACTTCATCTACTGCGCGCGGAGCACCCCCCACTATTCCCTCCCCGCGGTTCTGGGACCTGGTACATCCCTGAGAGGGGGAAGAGTGTTGAAGGAGGGGGTCCCAGGTTCGGGCATCGGATCTATCTCCCCGCTCTCCCAAACTGAAGGGGCTGGTGTTGGAGGTTTGCTAGATTCAAGGTGTGGCATCAGGCTCGTGTCAGCCCGTACCACAATCACATTAACACACACAAAACACACACTGGCTCACACACACTCACTTGCATTCACACAAGGTGACATTGACACACACTTGGACTGAGCTACTCTATTCCCTCCTACAAACACACACACACACACACACACACAATTCGCACATAACCAGAGACATACACAGAAACCCATTCATTGACACCCCGAGACTCGCCCCACCTACATCCACAGAGAGACACACACAGCCCTAACAAATGAAACACACAGATACACTACACATGCCTCAGCCCGAAACACCCACATCCTCATCTATAACACGTGAACAAACCCACTAACTCCACAAGGAGACCGCCAGAGAGCATGCAGGGACCAAGCGACGCCTCACCCTTCGCCCACTCTCGCCCCGCTATTGGAGCCGGGAAGGTTGCTCCTGCCCATGAAGGGACGGACCCCGCCCGGAGGGACCCGCCAGATTCTCCTTCAGGCTCACCAAGGCCAACCGAACCTGCCCTGGGGCGCAGGGAGCTTGGACCTGCAGGCTGAGGGGGTGCCACCACCACCCGGAGCTCTGTGTGTGGACACCGGCCTGGAGACTTGGGCCAGGTCCGTGGGTGTGTGTCGGGGAGCTGCCATCAGACTGCCAGACTTGGGAAGACTCCGAGGGAGGGCGAGAGTCTGATCCAGCCCCACTCCCGCCCTTCCCATTCATCCTCCACGTGACATAACAAACTTGACCCTGTCTCTCCTTTCCTCTAAACCTCTCTATGGCTCCCCAGTGCCCTCAGGAGAAAGCACAGGCTCCTCGCCTTGTCCTATGAGGCTCTGCATACTGCGGTCCCGCCCTCCTCCCGGGTCTCTTTCCAGCCTAAAGTATCCGGCTTCCGTGTTAAGCTCTACTCAAGAGTGTCCTATGACGGGCACCCCTCCGCCCAGCAGGGCCTGGGCTGTCACAGTCACCACTGGGTCTCCAGATAGGTGGAAGCAGGTTCTGGGGGGATGTGTGTGGAAGGAAGGAAAGACGACAGGGAGAACGGAACGGAGGGAGAGAGGGAAGAAAGATCTTTAAAATTTAAACCTTTGGTCCATTTTTCTTCTCTGAGCCACGTCTCCCTGTGCCCACCAGAGGACGCTCTGACCCAGCAAATCCCTAAAGCAGCCACTCAGCCCGCTCTTCGTACAAAAAGGTATTACGATACTGAAGAGGATTAATACCAATAACCGCTACTGAAAGCCCTACTGCACCCCAGGACGTGCGCTAAACCCTCCACGTGCCTAAGCCAACACAGCAGCTCAAAGTATCGTGCAAAGGAGGAAAGTGAGGCTCAGAGATGTTGTTTAACTCTCTCAGCGTCACACAGCACCTAAACTGCAGAGAAGCTTCCCACTCTGGCCTTGGAGACCCAACCGCCCTTTGCTCCTTGGCCACATCCCTAGTGTAACCAACTCACAATTCCCCGTGGACCTGGCCTTGCCTCTTCCCCCACTCGGCCACACCTCATTCCCCTCAACTCTTCAGGTCTCCTGTCCTCCATCCAGCCACTGGGGTCTTCATACACCAACCCCCTCGAAAACACTTCTTCCCTACTTCACAGAGGGTCACCTCCTCCCTTCAGACTCAGCTCAGTGTCACCTGTTTCGGGAAGCTGGCCCCAATCCAGAATCCGCTGCAGCTCTTCCGACCCACCTCCCCTGAGAATGCAGGCGTTTCCCTCCTAGCACTCGCTTCCGCTTCCGCTTCTGCTCCTGAGCTCCAGGAGGCAGAGCCTGCCTCAGTCATCACTGCTCCCGGCGACCTGCACAGGTGGGTCCCAGGACAGCCACTAGAGAAACACTGAATGAATGAGTGAATGAAGTCTGTGGGCGGGAATGACTTCAGTGAGCACCTGAAAGGGTGAATGCTCTTCCCCAACCAGTGTTCCAGAGATTCGACAACAGACACCCCCAGCCAAGGAGAGGGCCCCATACTCCCTTTCAGGCTCTCCCCTATCCAGGTACAGTGAGTCTCACTACTGCCCTTCCTCCCCTGGGGACAGAATCTCCTGCTTTCCAGCCCAGTATCCACCCCCTACACTCCCACCCCCGTCTCCTAAGTGATTTGCCTCCATTGCTCCTTGTGGCATCCCCTCCCTCATGTGGAGGGAGCCAGGTGGTTCCTGTGGGAATCACTAACCCTCACCCACCACTCCCCGAAGCCTGGCCAATCAAAGCACTCACTCCCTCTCCAGTCACTGTGATTGGTGCAGGGGCAGGCACATGACCCAGCTGATCCAATGGGAGCTGGTCCAGAGTCTGGTTGAATAAATGAATGAAGGGGCCCTGGAACCAGCCATGACTGAAGCTAAGACAACCTGGACTTTATAGTAACGTGAGCCAATGAATTCCCTTTTCTGCTTAATCCAGGACAACTTCGGTTTCTGCACTTGGAATTCAAAGTGTCCTGTGTAATTTGTTCCCCCTAAAGCATTCTCCAAGCCTCCAAGAAGGAGGGGCACAGGGGCCTCTCAGTACCCTGCCAGACATTACCTCTGGCTCGAAGTGCTGGAGCAGGACTTGAGGGGACCAGGGAAGGGTCTTCCTGACTTCTCAGACCTGGCACCGTCACCTGCCATAGGTTCCTGAGGCTTTTTGCCTCATTCCTGGGGCCCCAGGTCTCATGCCAACAGGGAACCATAAAGGCGGTCTTGCTGCTCTGGAAGAATCCCAATGGCAGGAAAGTTCTCGGTCAGTGTTTGCTGGATGGGTCCACGCTTGCGCAGACTGGCAGCTCAGCCATCAGATGGGCTGAGGAGAAAGGAATCTGATTTTATCTCTAATAGTTTGCCCAGATGGAAGGAGGGAATGAACGAACGTCATTACCTGGGGCTCATCCTGCAGCCTGGGGCCTGGGTCACCACCACAGTGTGTCC